CCTCAACCAGAACCCCTTGATCAATGTACGCGATCGCCTCTTCCACGCGCTCTTCTTCAAGATGGCAGTGACCTACGCTCGCCTCTTCCCACCCTCCTTCCGCCGCGTCTTCGAGTTCTTTGTCCTCCTCAAGGTGAGGGGCAACTTTATGGGGACTTTATGGGGTAGAGTGGACGTTCCTCTTGCTAGCAGTCAGGCGCTAAGGCATAAATTTCCTTATAAATGCAAAAGGGCTTGGCTCTGCAAGAGGTCGCAGCCTGGTTTTGGGCCATGTACACCAAGCTGTCCACTGAGCTCCTGTGGGCCTCTCTTCTGTGAGAGAGGTGTGAATAGTTGTAATGATCAGTGGTGGTCCTTGCACCACCAGAGAACTGGCATCAGGTCTGGAAATAAAAAGGAAGTCACTGAGCCTGCTTGCTGGGCCGTCAGGCTGGTGCGGGTTGGGTCCGGGGATGTGGGTATGAAAGATTTCTATTTCTGCTTCCAGACAATCACTCTTTTTGGATGCGTTGTATACGTGTGATGCGTGGTTGTTGGAGTTTTGTTGGAGTCTTGTCTTTTCTGGAAGCGATTAATGCACAACCTCATTTTAACCCCATTTCTTTTTAGCAGTCAACACCCTCAGCTGTGCCAGCACAGTATTGTATCACACCTCTCTGTACCAGGGTGAAAACCTGTGTGCTTTCTTGTTGACGTGGGTGTGAGGTTGAAGACCCACAGAGGAGCTTGTCAATGTCCATGTGGTGAACTGCCTGTAGGTTAAATCCTGCACTGCGGCTTCCAGAGCACGCACTGATACTTCTTGCCAGCACCAGTATGAGAAATTAGAGTAAGGGAAAGGGAGAGGGGAGCTTGCCAGGTGACAACAGTGGGCTTCTGCTCTGAGCTTTTAAAAATCAGCAGCTTAAAGCAAAAAAAAACATTTAGGACGACTTGTCTCGTACTGCACATACACATTTTCTACCCGCCTAATGCTCGGGGTTTTAAAATATCTCTCTTGGTTCGCCCCATGCATTGTATAACTGGATTCAAGCAGACAGGGAGGCTGAAATGGGGATGATGCTAACGGCGAGGCTGTCAGGCAGAGCGAGTTGTCCAGCTGGTAGCGGTTCTTGCTGCTGTCTGCTTCTGATCAAAGCACTCCCGAGGAAGTCAAAGTATTCACAGGGCATCTGCAGAGAACAGCCTGCTCCCACCCGCAGGGTTAGGAGTGAGCCAGACTCCGGCCTGGTCTCATCTCTGTGCACAGGATACTGGTCGGAGGTGAAGTCAGAGACCGTGGTCCTGCACGCTGCTGTTCACGGAGTCCTGAAACCACTCCTGGTTCTGCCGGCTTCATTGTGGCTCCTCCTGTGACAGGGGAGGTGTTTCTGATTTACCTTCCCTAGCATCTTCCTATGCAGCTCCTCTGCAGATGAGATGTTTACCAGTCTGTTTATTCATAGCAAATAGGTCAAGAATGATACATAGCGAGGACAGCTAGTTTAATTAGGAATGAGCATCTTGATGTGGTTGGAAAGTGAGTGTATGGAACTCAGCTCTACTGCTTACTGTGCCAGTGTTTCTTGGAGCTTTCAACTGTGAAGTTTGGACAGTGTTGGGTAACATTGTACTGTCTTCACTATAGGGAGGAGATTTTATTAGTCCACTTTGTTTTTCTGTGGCTTTATAGCTGTTCCTTGGATTGAGCCAGGGCAAGGGAGTGGTGAAGCTCCATGAGCCCAGCCTCGGCAGGCCAGCCGTTGGTGCTGTGTTTGGTCGGTTTGCCTGTGGTACAGTCTTTTTCAGGATGGTGTTGGCTTGCAGGACCTTACACGGCACTGGGGCCTGTGCCTGTGGTCTGTGCTTTCAGCAGGATACAGGTACTGCACGGGTATCAGTGGGAGCTCTGGTCTTGTGAGCAGGAGGAGATTGTTTTTGCTGCTGTCTTTAGTGTGTTCCCCTGTTGATACAATAGTGCTAAGATTACCTAATTCTGGGCTCCTTTACTGTTGGTGCAGAGACCACCGGGGTTAGAAAGCATAAAAGCTCTTGTCTGCTTCCAAATCCATTTGTCCAAATTAATCTGGTGTCTTTATGGGCAAAGAAGAGGTGAATAAAACTGGGAAGTCTGTAAACAGGCCAAGGTTGCTTGGGCTGACGATCTGTTTCTTGCTGTGTGTAGGCTCTCTTTGTGCTCTTCATCCTGGCTTACATTCACATCGCCTTCTCCCGCTCGCCCATTAACTGCTTGGAGCACGTGCGAGATAAATGGCCACGCGATGGCATCTTGCGGGTGGAAATACAGCGCAACTCGAGCCGAGCCCCCATCTTCCTGCAATTCTGTGGTGTTGAGAAGTTCCCAGGAATGGTAGTTGAATCCACAGCTGAGGAAGAGGAGGAGGAAGAGGAGGAAATGACTGTGGATATGTTTGAAAACAGCTCTATCAAGGTAAAGACACATTACCTGTGTGCAGAGGAGATGGGAACCTGGTTGTCGGTTTGGGGCGAAATGGTTTGTTAGTGCAGTCATCTTAAATATGCCACAGTCCTTCTGTGATCCCTCAGTCGCTGGATAACAGAGTGTGTTCCTTGGCTTTTCCTGAGTCTCCACGTTAGCCTCTGATGGCTTAAGATAGAAAGTAAAGCCTGAGAAAGTGGCCTCTTTTGTCCTCCATTTGGTGGTGGAGGCCTTCGCTGGGGGCACGGGGGAGCACAGAAGACGAGAGCTGAAGTGACTGCTAACGTGATTTTCCCTGCCGTGGTTTTCCAACAGTTTGAGCTGGATATCGAGCCCAAGGTGTTCCTCAAGCCGTCCCGGGTGAGCAGCACTGAGGCACTGACCCACAACGAAAGCCAGGAGTTCTCGTTTAGTGAAGCAGCCACTAAAGGTATGCAGCCTCTGAGGGAGACTGTGTCCGAGTTTGAGATGCTAGCCAGAGCAGGTAAAGACAACTTACGCTGCTGTCTGTGCTCTTTCCTTCCCCTGCCCCGTGCTTCTTCCCTGCACGTCTCGTTCCTTCTGGCTTCTCTGGGCACGTGCATAGTAACCTTAAATGTCTTCCCTGATGCATTCGCCTGTGGTTAATCTTGTCAATACTAACAGCAGACCTGCAACAAGAGCTTTCTGTCGGCTGGAGGGAGGCTGGGAGGCGGGAGTCGTCTGGGCTATAAAATTTGCTGAAGCCTCTTCGTCTGGCATCGCGTTTCTGCAGTCGTCGGTGCCCGATATCTCAGATGAATGTGAACCTCCCTCTTCTGAGCAGTTCGCTGTCCTCTTGAGATCTGCAGGGATCCCACTGACAGCGCACATTCCTCCTCGTATTAACAGGGTTTGGGCTGTATTTTGGGTCCCTGAGTCAACACCAGTACTTAACAACCAATTAATCCCGAAAGCCACCGAGCAAGTTTCAGTGGATTGCGAGATTGCTGTTCTGCATCATTCAGGACATCATCCTGCTTTATCCCTCCCCTTGTTCCAGCATGACTTAAGCTGCTAATGTCTCATAAACTCTAGAGGGAGATTTAGTGGCTTTGTATTGTTTAAAATGGAATTCCCGTGTTGGAAAACTTCTGTTTCTAGTGCCTAGGGAAGGAAATATATTAAAAAATATTTGTTAAAATAGAGACGTGGCAATTGGATTCTTATTTAATTTACTTTTTTCACCTACACTTTTATCCCTGGAAAGACTGGAATTCTTTGCTCTTCAGAAGTACTGGATGTTGTGGCTGTGGATGTTGCAATGGCGTTGTTCCCTTGGTCTTGCAGTGGTTTTGCTTGATGCTGATCCAGAACTCATTAGTCCTGAATTTAAAATCATTATGTCGCATAAGACTAGAGAGCAATAAATATTTTTGGTGCAATACCTTTATTAATAGTTGCCTAAGTTCTGTAAGAGGGTCATGTTGTACAGTGTTGTGTACGCTGACAGGCTGTGCCTTGATTTGCTGAATGCCTGGTTGGAAATGATCCAGCAATGTAGTGGGAGAGAGAATCGTGCTGCTTCCCAAGATAGTTAAAAAATTTTATCTTTTCAAATGGGTCTCAGATCCCCAAATACCTGTTTTTATTGTTTTTTTTCCAGGTTTCTTGTGCTGTAAGTACATAAAATTTGATGTTTAGACAGAATATTGTACCATGGAAAAATATTTTATGATACAAAGGAAGTAATTCTTTTGTTGCTATTTAAATACTTTATTTCCATTTGAGCTTAAAATCGTTTTATAATAGAAACAAAAGATGAAATGAACACACCAGCCTGTGTTTCCTGCCCAAGGAGTGGGATCAGAAGCAGGGAGGTAAAGTGGAGTTTCTGTCAGTGATGTATTGCTGTAAGTCAGAAGAGGCAGGTACATTTCTTTTAAGTTATTGTATCCTTTTAACTTTCTTCCTGTGTGTTGTAAGATGCCTGACAGCTGCCTCCCCTCACCTCTTGCAAGATATGTTGTGACAGTTTGAAAGATCAGGGGTTAAATTGCTTGGCTCCAAATTAGCAGGAGGTTTTGTCCTTTCAGAGATGATGTAGCAGAAAGCATCTATTTTGAACCTTTTTTTTAAAAAAAAAAAAAAAAAAAAAAAAAAACAAGAAAACTTAAAACCATTTTTTTGGAAAGCCGTAATTGCTCCTGCCTTTAATTTTGACATTTGTAATTGCAGCACTGACCTCTGCCTCCTGAGAAGTGCAGTGCTGTTGTCCCATGGAGTGTTTACCTGGTGTTCGGCAGGTGTAAAGTGTATTTTTCTGCTGTTTCCTAAACAACATAGAAAACAGAAATTGAACAGAGGAAGAACAAGTGGTCAAGGGTTTGCCAGGCAAAGGTGTGGGCAGATGCTGGACAATGCTCGACCGAGCTTGGAACTGTTGCCCTGAAGCTTTCCCAGAAGTTTCACATTAAGGACTAATGTCAAGGGAATGGGCTGCAATTTCAAAGAATTTGTATTGATTGGTTGAAGGAAGCCTGGAGCCTGCATTTGCAACTGATTGTCTTTTCAAGAACCTGGTGGGAGGGAGGGAATCCAGAGGTGCTATTTCTTCTTGGTGATTGTTTGCAAGCCCTGGTGCTGAGTGTCCCTTCCCGCCCTCTCTTCCAGTGTGGCCGCAGGAAGAGTACATCGTGGAGTACTCCTTGGAGTACGGGTTTTTGCGCCTGTCCCAGAGCACTCGGCAGCGCCTCAGCATCCCGGTCATGGTGGTGACTTTGGGTGAGTGAGGGAGCCAGCCCACTCTGGTGCAGGGGTGGGTAAGTGCTCTGCAGAGATACCTACGCGCCATTTCCTCGTTAGTCTTGTGGAAACTATTTATAACAGTTGATGGCGCTCATTTTCCACATAGGAGAGCTTCTTTATGGAGTCTTTATTGCTTTAGTATGTCATACCTTTCCAAGAGGAGTAGTCTGAAATGGTGGAGCCTGTTTCAGTGAACCCTGATATGTCCAGCACAGTTTTCTCGTCTGTCACCGTTTAAGGCTGGGCCGGCA